CAACATCAGGGCGGGGGACACCAGAAATGGGCTTCACGTATTGTGCTCATATTTCCGAAGCTGTTCATGAACCTGCCATCATTGATCAGATCGATTAGTCAATCACTGAAAGGCGGTTGGGTTGTTAAGATGAATCAAATATATACTAAAGTTAATCTATGTGTTGCAGCAGGGTGTCACATGTCCGTTAATATACTGATCTTTTCGTTCTTCGTTTCGTTCACTGAGATCGGTCGATGCTTGGGTATTGGCAAATGGCCAATGGGGTTTTGTTTGTTTGTTGTTTAACGCCGCAATATTCCAGCTATATGGCGGCGGTCTGTAAATAATCAAGTTTGGACAAGACAATCCAGTGATCAACAGCATGAACATCGATCTACGCAACTAGGATACAATGACGTGTCAACCAAGTCAGCGAGCCTGACGACCCGACCCCGTTAGTTGCCTCTTTCGAGAAGTATGGGTCTTCACGCTTGGCATTCCTATGGGTTTCCCAGGAATGTGAGAGTGTACTATTTACGTCATTTCAAGAATACAATCTCGTGAAAAAGTAGCCAGGTGGTCAAAACTTGGGTTCTTAACGCCGAAGACTCGGGTTTGATTCAGCACTGGGTACAATATGTGAAGCCCATTTCTTGTGTAGCCCGCCGTGATATTCCTGTAATATTGCTTAAAGCGTCGTAAAACTATACTCATTCCCTTTAGGACATACAAGTGGATTTGTTACGTCCAATCGTAGGATGAATGAACAGGTAAGAGTTTGCCTGATACAGTCTTGAAAAATTCTCGTATTCCCAAGATTTTCTAAAACATCTTCAGATTCTTTTGGCCTCTAGGTACCCTTTTGAAGTTCACTGTTCGTCAGTCGGATCAAAGCTAGCCCTTCACGTCTAATGCTAAATGACGGTGGGTTGACGGACTGCTAGTGTTTGCATGAATGGGTCGTTTGCGGGTGAACCAATGGGTTTCTTTTGTGAGGTTGGAATCTATGGTATTGTAAATATTTCTTGGAAATAAGAATCGGTGAGATACACTCTTGGTAGAGTTCCGATTAAAGCTAAAATCACAGGTTCAAATACAGCACATGCGATTGTAATGATAGCATCGATCGGTAAGGCATCTGGTCATAAGATCAAGAATGTCACAGCTGGGATCGCGTGACAACACAACACAACACAACACAACACAACACAACATTCATAACGCTTAGAGTGAGTGAGTTTGGGTTTGCACCGCTTAGGAACATTCCAGCAATATCACGACCTGGGTGACCACAAATGGGATTCACACATTGTACCCATGTGGGGAATCGAACCTGGGTCTTCGGCGTGACGAGCAAACGCTTTAACCACCAGGCTAATCCCTCATTATGCTTGGAAGCGTCACCTAACCACATCACATGTGAATATCCGAGGTAGAATTGGTCTTCAACAACCCTTCTTTCAAGCCACCTTTTCAAGTCATGAATATATAGACGATAACGAAACTATTTCTGAGGAGACCGGTAAATCTACCATAAGCTAAATTATCCTTTTACCCGTGAAGATCTGGGGTTAGAATAGGTCTTTATCTACCCATTCTTGTCGTAAGAGGCGACTAACGGTATCAGGTGGTCAGGCTCGCTGACTTGGTTCACACTATCATCGTATCCCAGTTGTGTAGATCGATGCTACTGATGCTGATCACTGGAATTCTGGTCCAGACTCGATTATTTACAAACCGCCACCACGCATTACCAGGTTGTATCGTCATCGATATCAACCACTATTTTTCTAGTTTAGAAGTCGTATGGTGATTCTAGGCTGGAATTAATTGCCTCCTCTTTGTCGTTAGAGCCGACGAAAATGGGGACCAGGAGCATTTGCTTTTTCTTGCTGATATCATTTGAGGACCGTCGTGCTAAAGCTGGCTTACTGCTGATTGGGCGTCAAGCACTTTCCACTCACTCACCTGTTCACAGGTTGCTCTGGTGCTGGCTTAATGTTCAGAATAGACAGTGATGATATTTTAGAACTGTCAAACAGGCAGTCACATAGTGTTTGCCATCAATTACAAAGTTTCAGAAATTAAATTGTGCGTGAGTGTTTTTTAAGCCGCTATCATCATAATATTCCAGTAATATCACGGCGAGGACACCACAAATGGACATCACACGTTGTACCAATGTTGGGAATCAAACCCGCGTTTTCGGCCTGACAGGCGAATGCTTCAACCATTGCACTACCCCATCGCTGAGAAGGGAAACATGGTGCTTCAGAATAGCCAACCTTGTTTCATACACATACACACGCATGCACGTCGTCATATGAGCGAAATCTTCTCAAGCACGACGTTAAACCCAATTTCAACTCACCTCAATCTTGTTTCAAAACATTCAATTATGACGTTTCAGAAGTAAGTCACGGTGATTTAGAATAGTCATAATGTCTGTTCAGTATTGTCAACCATAGTCTTTCAAAACAAACAAGACAGTCTTGTTTTAGAATAGTCAATCATGTTTAAAAAGTCAGTCAGTGGCGGATCCAAAGGAGGGGGTGTCAGGGGTTCGAACCCCCTTTTGAAAATGACTTAGGATCACATTGAAAAAATAAATTGCGTTGACGGAGCCAAGGGGGTTAACCCCTGAAACACATCCTCCCTTCCCCCCCCTCCCTTTTAAGAACTCCTGGATCCGCCCATGTCAGTCATGAAGTTTCTAAAGTCGGTCGTTCTGTTTCAGAGTAGTCAATCCCGTCTTCTCAATCCAGTTTTCTCAGTCAATCATTTTGATTTAGAATAGTCAACCGTGGTGTCAGACTAGTCAATCCCGGGTAAGGTGAGGTGAGGTAAAGTGGAATAGGGTATAACGTCGTGCTTAAGAATATTTCGCTCATATGATGATGTGAATGCGTGTGTATGTGTGGCTGCTTGTACTAGCCCAGACTGAAGCTGGTTTTATAGTGCTAGCTCATTGAGATACCATGCCGCAGTTAAGGATGAATACACCACTCAGATACATTATACTGACCCCGAGCCGACCAGTCCTTGTACCCATTAATGCCGAGCGCCAGGCAAGGACCAACAAGTACCGTATTTTGGTATGACGCGGATGGGGAGCGAACCCGCGACCTTCCGCTCTCCGGGCGGACGCTCTAACCACTACAATCCCAGTGTTTCAGACTAGTCAACCACTGTATATCTTAAAGGTCAATCCCAGTGTTTCAGACTAGTCAACCAGTGTATATCTTACAGGTCCACCCCAGTGTTTCAGACTCGTCAACCACTGTGTATCTTACAGGTCCATCCCAGTGTTTCAGACTAGTGAACCACTGTATATCTCAAAGGTCAATCCCAGTGTTTCAGACTAGTCAATCACTGTATATCTTACAGGTCCATCCCAGTGTTTCAGACTAGTCAATCACTGTATATCTTAAAGGTCAATCCCAGTGTTTCAGTCAATCACTGTATATCTTACAGGTCCATCCCAGTGTTTCAGACTAGTCAACCACTGTATATCTTAAAGGTCAATCCCAGTGTTTCAGACTAGTCAACCACTGTATATCTTACAGGTCCACCCCAGTGTTTCAGACTAGTCAACCACTGTATATCTTACAGGTCCATCCCAGTGTTTCAGACTAGTGAATCACTGTATATCTTACAGGTCAATCCCAGTGTTTCAGACTAGTCAACCACTGTATATCTTACAGGTCAATCCCAGTGTTTCAGACTAGTTCACCACTGTATATCTTACAGGTCAATCCCAGTGTTTCAGACTAGTTCACCACTGTATATCTTACAGGTCAATCCCAGTGTTTCAGACTAGTCAGTCACTGTATATCTTACAGGTCCATATGTTTCAGACTAGTCAATCACTGTATATCAATCCCAGTGTTTCAGACTAGTTCACCACTGTATATCTTACAGGTCCATCCCAGTGTTTCAGACTAGTATATCTTACAGGTCAATCCCAGTGTTTCAGACTAGTTCACCACTGTATATCTTACAGGTCAATCTCAGTATTTCAGACTCGTCAATCACTGTATATCTTACAGGTCCATCCCAGAGTTTCAAACTAATTAGTCACTGTATATCTTACAGGTCAATCTCAGTTTTTCAGACTAGTCATCCACTGTATACCTTACAGGTCAATCCCAGTGTTTCAGACTCGTCAATCACTGTATTAAAGGGGCTTGTACTGCTGAAATTAATACGTCCTGGGACCTACATTCGTTGACCGAGGTCCATATCCTTCTTTATATGTATATGGACATCGGTGAACGAATGTAGGACCCAGAACGTATTATTTTCAGCAATACAAGCCCCTCTGTAACAGGTCAATCCCAGAGTTTCAGACTAGTCAATCACTCAGTATCTGACTAGATAAATACGGCGTTTCCCATAAGTCACGCTGGTGTTTCAGACGTCATTCCTGGCTTTTCTTACTAGTCAATTGCGATGTTTCAGACGAGTGAAACCCGATGTTTCAGACTAGTCAACCTCGTTGGTTCAAATTAGTCAGTTTTGTTGAACAGGCAGATCAGAGTGACGAGCTCATCGATATCACGCCAAACCAACCCTCACCCTCGCTTTCATCCCACTCTCTGACGCTTCAAGACGTCAATACAACTACATCAACTCCCCCACAGAAACAACCAGCAGTAACACCAGCCTCCCAGAGGTGGAACCTGCGCTCCAAGACATCATCTCATATGACCTTCTAGGAGCATCGATATCAAGCTTACATCGATTCCATTAAGCGTCACACAAATGCCCCAACACAATAATACCCCAAATCTCCACCTGTTTGTCATATTGTCAGCCACTTCATGTCCATTCTGACAATATCACTTTGAGCCTTGACGACACGAAGATGACTCAAGGAAGCAACCTCTCTTTCCTATCCCGTTATCAGTTTCCATATTCCCTGAAAGCAAACCACTCTCTACTCTGATAATGACCGCTATTACGAAATTACCCGCTTCTCCCAATTCCGGTCAATTTGCATGGACAGCTTTGATTGGCCAATGCTACAGGACAGAGTGGCTGAAAAGCAACGCAAGCCTAATTGGTTCTGCCATCTGCCATCCTTTACCGAGAATTACCAGCGTGTTGATTTTGGCGATGGATAAACCAGTCAGTGAATTTACAGAGATCGATCACTGTGGATGTGTATGACACAGCTTCAGGTGTGCAGCCAGCACATATAGTTACTGAGAGGATAATCTCTTACTGTCTGGGGACTCAAATCTCCGGCCCATAGTGAACGCAGGGGCTCGCTCGGCTCCAGGCTTCGGGAATTTCTCCACCTTGTACTCATTGGGAGCGGGACCGCCACCTGGAATAAAGTCAAGGTAAGTTAAAAACTTCATGAATGTATCACACCACGTATTAGATTAGACCTGTATCTGATAGTATTGTGGTGTGCGAATGAAGTACGCCACTCCAGATTTTAAAATGTTAAGAGTACACTGTGATGTTTGAACGATTTGTTTGCCCACCAAGTTACCAAAGCGTTTCGACGATCGATCTGTATGTTTGTATGTAATTTTTTTAAAGGCAGAGAAACTTTTTTTTAAAGTTTGGTATTATACCTTCATATATGTTGGAGTTATACCTTCATATATATTGGTGTTATACTTTCATATATATTGGTGTTATACCTTCATATATATTGGTGTTATACCTTCATATATGTTGGTGTTATACCTTCATATATGAGGGGTCGGTCTTCAGCCGAGTGGTTACATGAAAGTTGAGTGGCATTTTTATAAATGATGCACCATAACGCTTATCGGGTCAATTCTTCACAAGAGGAAAGAGGAGCAGGGTGCGGGGGTGGGGCGGGTCAGGGGGGTTTACTGAGAAAGTGTTATCCCAAATATAACATGTTTCATATATGTTATTTCAAACTCGTGAATCTATGAGAGGAACCTTGTAAAACTTCACTTCCCCCATGTTTGGTACATTTTATTGAGAAACGTGAATCGCACTGATTCAACACAGGCTTATTGAATATCCCCGATGTTATGGATCGATCATAACTTTTAACTGAAACTTTACGTAATAACACAACATAAAAGTAATTTCAATTTAAATAGAGCAACAGGAATCGCCGTGTTGTCAGTTTCCATCTTCTTATGGTATAGCATACTGTTCTGTAAGCATACACTTTGTAATGTATTTTAAAAACTTAAACCTGATACGTACGGAATCTTAAATCTTGCTAACAATCACTTAATCCCCAAAACACAGAATCCACCGATGGCAGGGAAATTTAGAGGTTGAGATCCCTCTGACCCGCCCCACCCCCGCACCCGCTCCTCTTTCCTCTTGTGAAGAATTGACCCGCTAAGCGTTCTGGTGCATCATTTATAAAAATGCCACTCAACTTTCCTGTAACCACTCGGCTGAGGACACGACCCCTCTCATGTGTTCCCCATAAACCCCCTTGCTGTTGTAATCACCGCTAAAGATAGAAATTAAATCTGTTCCGACGGCGGAAACAATTTAAGTCATTTTCAACAGCAGTAAAGGAGTAAAAAATATCAAAGACGTTGACTCGGCGCAAGAGAGCCGTGCGTTATACCCTGAACACAATCGTCGTTCTGGGCGAAGAATCACGACTGCCGCATAGACGGAGCCTTCCCGTTGACGTGAGGTAGATGTAAAACAGCCGCCGCTCCTAGGAAAAAAGTTCTGGATGCGCAATAGGAACGCATAATCTGTGGGCCTTAATTAAGAGGCTAGTTTGTTAACATGAATATAAACATCCACGTTCTTCATCGTCAGTGGATGTTATCGCCCATGGTTTTAATCACTCTAATTAGAAAAGCACGCAGGTCATTGAGTCACGATGCCCTTTTTACGATGTAACGTTCGGGCTAATAACCCATAAAAGTTGAACAAGCCGTCATCACCTCGGCTATATATACGTGAACTCTGCCGTGACGATATAGCCATGTTTCGTAAGCAAATTCCGAGCCACTTGTTTTACCTTGTAAGACATAGATCTTTATGATTACGACTCGATCATGTTTCTGGCTAGCGTTCAGATCATTTTTCTGTCTTCTTTGAATTTAGACATCCAATTTACGCACCTTTTAATAAAAAAATGTTTATTGAGACTTTTCATGAAGTTTTAGCGATTTATTATGATTAACGTTGTTACAATAACGACTAAAACATGGTCACGGTCTTTTAAATAAATTACATGCTTTTGTGGAACATATTAATGGTTAATGAAGGGACGGCTAATTAGGTTGTGTGCTACTGATCGTATCTCTGAAACGGTTTTGAGTTTCTAGTTTACATCAGATATCCACATGTTGAAAGTCAAGGCTTAATGTCATGCATGAATCAATAACTAGCTTAAGTGAAGGTAGAATATGGTACACGGTACTGGTATCACGGTTGGGTTCCTGTAATCAAGACGAGAAGTAGTGAAAACATCAAAGTCCCCAGTCCCACCAGCCTATAAGCTACAGACACCAACAACCCTCTTTTCGTGGATGAATTTTATATCCGTTCGCTCGCCACACCATTAGGTTGAGTTTGAATCCCAAATGGGTGCAAGTAAACCCCTTATTTCTTGGCGTTATGGCTGTATTTGAGAAATTCAAAACCCTTCTCATCTGTGCACTTAAGGATGCATAAATCATGAAATATATATGGGATTATATTGGACATTATATATCATGAATATACTTTTCTGATTGGCTGAAATGTGGGTAACCAATTATCCAGACTGTCACGTGTTCTGCTTTCCAGTCTGATTGATACAACAGTCTACAGCTGAAGTGTGACCCGTTCACACGGCAACACCGAGTTGCCTGCTGCGACCAGCTGTTACCAGCTGCTACCAGCTGATCACAACAATCGCTACAGCGCCACCTTTTGGTGTTAAGGAGCGCTCGGCGCCCAAACATGGTGTTTTGACATCGCAAATAAACAATAGGCATGCTGATTGATAAATCAGCTTGTTTGAATAAAATATACACATTATATAGCTGAAATATTTCGGAGTGCAGTGTGAAACAAACAAACAAACAACCAAATAGACAGACAAAGATAATGTGAACATGGTGGAAGTAAAGGTGTCATCATTTATCTCGCAGACTTATATATATAAATTACAAGTTATTGGTATCTCTCGTAACGATAACGATCGCCGTGTTGTATTGGACAGTGTGTATGTCCGGAGAACCTGGGGTTAGTGGTTCGATCGCATCATTCCCCCAAACAAGGGTGCCGTTTTACGGCAAGATCTTAGTGCTAAGATAATCGTTACTGCCATACGTTAACCGCGACTGTCGTACCGGTAAGGCTGTTTTGTCCAACGGCTCCATGGATAAATAGATAACACAATGACAAGTTGGCTCCGATACATGTGTGGGTTTTGCATGGATGAGTACAAGTTGTTGAACAGGTCTGTTTATATTGAAGCCGCACTCAGCAATATTCTGACGGCATGCTTTAAATAACCGAGTTTGGACCAGGCAATCCAATGATTGACAGCATGAGTATCAATCTGCGCACTTAGGATACGATGACATCATCCACGTCAGCAAACTTGGGGCACGTTGCATGTAGCGGACGTAGCGTGACGACTGTCGTAACTCCTGTGTTATAGCATAGACTTACGACCGTTGTAGAGCTAAGACCGCTTTGTGAAACTTGTCGTCCCTGGTCCTATTAGTCGCGTGTTATGGGTTCGTGACGACTTACTGTAACACGGTTCGCAGGGTAAAACAATGTACATGGATGGGCAGTGAGTGGGATAGACGGGCAGTGGGTGGGTTAGGGGGCTGATGAATTGATAATTGGAAGATGGTTGCATGATGGAGGGTAATATATTGTGTGAACAAGGATTATTCATTCACAATGACCTTATTGAATGTGTTTCTGTTATAACAACAACAACAACAACAGGTGTTCTGATCAATATATAGCCCATGGTCCCGTATTGTTTCACTGGCAACAGACGAAAGATGTTACAATATAACGTACACCGTTATCTGATCATCGGCGTTCGAACAGCCTGCCATGCATGTTAACATGGTGTAGACGACAAGTGGTGTCCGTTATCAATTCACAAATTCAAGAGACGGTGAGATAGCCTTGTGGTTAAAGTGTTCGCTCGACACGCCTATTCCCCACAAAGGTATAATGTGTGAAGACTATCCGGGTCCTCGGCGTGACGAACTAACGCTTTAACCACTAGACTACCCCATCGCCCTGTCATGCTGTCTTTAAATAATAAATTTGGAACATGGAGAGTGTAAGCTCCCAAAGTCTGACCCCCCGATCCTGACCCCCCGATACGGCTCTCACGACAAGCTTGAGGCTCAAGGGTATGCTATTCCCGGAACTCCAAAGGGCTGGCTGGGGTGAGGCTGTCCCCCGTCAAGTTCCTCCTTCATCAAGCAAAGCGACTACGTGAATGTGATTCTTTCATTTGAAGGGGACAAGGATGGTCTTATCTTTAGCGTCGAAATTTGCAATGAAGAGTTATGTCCCTTGAGCACGCCAGAAACCTATGAGGGTTCGAATCTCGGTTTGCCCAGATTATGTTTCAAGGCTGTCAGAATTATGCTCGTGGGTTTCATCACAGCGGTAAACGTCCAAGACCTGCATCACATCGGGTTTCCCCTGATTGGTTGGTTTGTTGTTTAACGCCGCACTCAGCAATATTCCAGCTATATGGTCTGTAAATAGTCGAGTCTGGACCAGACAATCCAATGATCAACTTCACGAGCATCGATCTACACAGTTGGGATACATGTACAATGACACGTGACAACCAAGTCAGTGAGTCTGACCACCCGATCCCGTCAGTTGCCTCTTACGACAAGCATGGGTTGCTGAGGACCAATTCTAACCCTGATCTTCACGGGTCGCATCCTACGACAAGCATGGGTTGCTGAAGATCAATTCTAACCCTGATCTTCATCGGTCGCCTCTTACGACAAGCATGGGTTGCTGAAGACCAATTCTAACCCTGATCTCCATGGGTCGCATCCTACGACAAGCATGGGTTGCTGAAGATCAATTCTCACCCTGATCTTCACGGGTTTACACCAATCTCACACGCCGTGATGTAACTGTAATACTGTCGTAAGCGGAGTTAAACCCAACTCACTCACTCACCATTGACAATGGTTGCTCGATCATTTGGGTATTACTGACAAAAGGAAGAAAGCACTTACGCTAATCAATGACTCGGTTGCACTCCTACGCCAAACACAACGAACAACTGCCTTATTTCATGTTGATGACAATTAAGAATAGCTCCATGTTGATTATGCCATACAGGATGAAAGGGTAGCGTAGGGCTTATTGATTACAACATACA